CGGGCCCTCTTCTAACGCATCGCTGACGTGAGCTGCATCTGCTGCGGCGATGCCGCCGCTGTACTCGTTCCCCTTCTCCTCCTCCTCCTCCTCCTCCTCCTCCTCTTCCTCTTGCTCCTCCTGCGTCTCCCTCTTGGAGGGGGAAGACGAGATTGGGACGTGGAGAGCCACTGCTAGATCACTCACGCGTCTGTGATGTCAGAGAGCGCTCCTGCAGACAACGCACATGATGGACCAAGCCCGCGACCGGCACATATTGAAACAAGCAGCGCGCTGCGTGGAGAACGCATGCAGCTCGAGCAAGCAGTAGCGCCTCAGAGCGGCGCGCGCTGCAAGCCAGAGGGCCAGAGTGATGTGACAGAGCTTGCCGTTGCTGGAGGCTCGGGGAGCCTCCTCGCTGGCACGGCTGGGCCCAGATGGATGGCCTCGTTTCCACCACCACCACCATAAGTTGGAGGGGGGAAGGAGGTGAAGGTGGAGGAGGAGGAGGAGGAGGAGGAGGAGGACCCCCTCCCCTCCAACCTGTGGTGGTGGCGGTGGGAATCATCAAGCTCACCACAGATGGAGGCGCTGACGAGGGCGGCGTTCGGGCGAGCCGCAGGAGGGGGCGCGTCGTCGGGAGCCCGGCCGCGGGGGGAGGTGGACGCCGCAGGGGAGGGGGCGCAGCGGCAGCGGCGCGGCAGCAGCCGCCGGAGGAGGAGGAGGAGGAGGAGGAGGAGGAGGAGGAGGAGGCGATACTGATGAGCAGGGCGGAGGAGGAGGAGGAGGAGGAGGAGGAGGAGGAGGAGGAGTGACATGAACCTGGAGAACCAGTGGGGAGGACGAGGACTGACAAGGAGAAGGGGGAACGGAGCAGGAGGACTGCACGAAGCGGAAGTACAAAGGGGAACGGAGAGCTGATGAGGAGGAGCAGGAGGAATAGACACAGCAGAAGGATAATTGACGAAGGAGAAAGAGGAGAGGAGAAAGGTCGGAGGCACAAAGGACGTATGCGGAAGGAGGAAGGGCGGAGGGATAACGGCATGTGGGGTTCGGAGAAAAAAAGGACGAAGCGAAACATAATACGCATGAGCATGAACCGTGGCAGGGGAGTAGGGGATGATCACCACCAGAACGAGGACCAGGAGGATCGAGGATAAGGAGCAAGGCTTGGGAGAAGGTTGAAGGAGGGGGAGGAGGAGGAAGGGGGAGAACGACGACGACGCTGGCGTGTTCAATGCGCCTGCATGGCAGCTCCAATTCACTGCGCACCCGAGCAGCACTCCGTGCTCGAAGCAGTGCCTGCACTCTGGGGCTCCTACTCCGGCACCGAGGGATGGCTCGAGGCCTCCCTGGGCTCGCGCGCCTGTGGGCACCCGTGGGCGCCTCGAGAGGCCGCTTCCCGCGCTGGCGCCGGGCGGCGGACGGCCCCTTCCGGGTCGGCCATGGGCACCGTTCGCAGCGCTGCTGGGCGGGGCGAGGGGGCCCGGCGGTCTGGCACCGTCCCGGGGTGCGCGGCTGAAGCGGTCTTGGGAACCCCCAAACCGGGTGGTGAGATACCAGGTGGCGACCTGGAATCCCCCAAGAAGGTCACCGCTGGGCTTGGGGGCGCGGGGTCACCGCCGGGTTCTGTGACTCCTGGACCCACCAGCGTGCGGGACAGCCTCGGAAAACCGCACGAGTCCCCAAACCGGGTGGTGACACCAAATCGCCCGAGACTCACCGCCAGGTGTTGTCACCACCACGTTTGGGGACTACCAATGGTCAAGCAGTGGCGAAGCGTCCTGGCCCGCCTGTAGCCCCACCGAATCATGTCATAAGAGCCTTGTGTGGTTTGCACTACATGGTCTCGGAACTGTTCTGGCTGGGGCTGTCTTGTTTTAGCACATCGGGTCGACGTTCTAAGAGCATTGGTTTTGTTCTTAGAATATTTTTGGGTTTAAGAGCATTTCGTGGTAGGCCTGTAGGAATGCCGGGACGGTCGGTCCCTGCTCAAAGTGGGATTCCGCGGCGTGGATTCTGCTTCCACGCTGGTTTCGAGAGTACGCGTTGCGCGAATGTTCGTATCACGCGGCGGGTCGCACGGATCGAGGGGCCGTGTTCATGTACATAATTGGGCGCGTACGTCCTTGGTGGGCTCCTTATTGGCCCTATTGTTGAACCCTCACTACTGAAGAAGAATTTGTGTTGATCCCCCCTCCTCTGGTGACCACTGTATTTTTGTCCATTGAAAGGCTTCCCCCGGGGCTCGCACCATGTTCTTTTATCCAGGAAGGTCACGGGGCTCAAACTTTGTCGTTGGCCTCGGTTTGCAACAACAACGGTTCCCGCCTGAGACTTCCTCACGATGTATTCCCAAATCGCGCTCTCGCGCGGGACTATTTGTATACGAAGCGCGCTTTCGCGTGGGACTTCTTCGTAGTCTACGCAGACGATACGCCATCGTCGCTCAGGAATCATGCTCTCGCTTTGGCTTCTCTTACGATTTACTTCGGAATCACGCTATCGCTCGAGACTTCCTCGTGATTCATGCAGGACGCACGATTCAGCAATCCGCCTGCTCGACCTGGCCGCCTGGGCACGCCTTCCCGACCTGCCCGGTATGGGTCTGCCCACCCGATCTGCCCGTCTGGTTCTACCAATTGTTTTCTGCTCCTTGCCCCCCTCCTGCTACTTTCTCTCGTGCTCCATTCTTCTTCCTCCCCCTTCCACCCGTCTTGTCTTCCCTTATTTTAGGGGCTGCATTAATGCACGTGGCAGGTAAGAAAGATGTACCCCAAATGGGGTACGATCGAAGACGAGGGTGGGTACCGAGGGCTTGGGATATACGTATTGATCGGCACGTGAGCAGATAGGAGCGAGCAGTCTTGAAACGATGGTTGCTTGTTGTTGTTATTGGTGTTGTTGTTGTTGTGTTTTGTTGATGTTGTTGGTGTATTCCGATTTCTTAAGGATAATTGCAATTGATCCCACACGCTCCGGTAACCGTTGTCGTCTTGAAAGTAGAGTGTTTCTCATAGGGTTCGCACCCCGTGTTTTACAAGGGGAAGCTGGGTGTCACCAAGCTGCGCCCTTAGCCCCCGAGCTTCAACAACAACGGCTCCCGCCTGATACTTCCTCACAATGCATTGAGAATTCGGGGTCTCGCGCAGGACGTCCTCACAATGTATGCAGGAATCGCGCTCTCGCGCCGGACTTCCTCGCAGTTTAATCGAAACGCCTCGCCTTCGGCACTCGGGAAGCATGCTCCCGGTTTGACGTTCCTCACAAAGCAGTCGGGACATCGCGCTACCGCTCGAGACGCCCTCGCCGTGCATGCAGGACCCACGCTTCAGCAGCCCGCCTGCTCGGCCTGGCCGCCCGGGGCCCGCCTTCCCGACCCGCTCCGCTGTGGGTCGGCGCGTCTGCTTCTGCCATTTTCTGTTCTGCTCCTGGCCTCCCTCCTGCTGATTTCTCTCGTGCTCCGTGCCCCCTTGTCCCTCCCATTTGCATGGAATACTCGTTGCAGGTAAAAAAGATCTACCCACAAAGGTGGCACGATTCTCTCGTGCTCCATGCTTCTCCCTCCCCCTTCATCAGCCTTCTCCTCCGCCATCCTAGGGGCTGCACTACATGCACAGCAGGTAAGGAAGATGTGCCCTCTAAGGGGGGGTATCATTGAAGACGAAGAGGGCGGGTAACCTTATTATTCCGGGGTTACGTGTTGAATGGCACGCGATCAGGTAGGAACGCACAGTCTCAATACGATTGTTGTTGCTATTGTTACTGTTGTTACTGTCGTCGTTGTTGTTGTGTTTGGTGGTGTTGTTGTTTCTGCTGCTGCTGTTGTTGTTGTTGCTGCTGTTGTTGCTGTTGCTGTTAAAGTTGTTGAAATCTCAACTCCGGGACCTGTTATTAAATTGAAGTGCCCTTCCCGGGGCTCGCCCTTTTATTTGTCATGGAAAGTCTTGGGTCTCAGAATTAGGTTGTTGGCCTCCGATTTACAACAACAGCGGTTCCCGCCTGATATTTCTTTACAATGGATTCCCAGATCGCGCTCTCGCGCGGAAGTTCCTCACGAATTATACAGGAATCGCGCTCTCGCGTGGGACGTCCTCGCAATTTAGTCAGACGCCGCGCCCTTGAGATTCAGGAATCATGCTCTCGCTTTGGCTTCCCTGACGATTTACCTTGGAATCGCGCTATCGCTCGAGACTTCCTCGCGATTCATGCCTGACGCACGATTCAGCAATCCGCCTGCTCGACCTGGCCGCCTGGGCACGCCTTCCCGACCTGCCCGCTATGGGTCTGCCCACCCGATCTGCCCGTCTGGTTCTGCCACGTGTTTTCTGCTCCTTGCCCCCCTCCTGCTAATTTCTCTCGTGCTCCATCCTCCTCCTTCCCCCTTGTCCTTTCCTTCCATCCGTCCTCTCTTCCCCTGCCTCAAGGGCTGCACGGGACACACGTTGCAGGCAAGACAGATGTATACCCCAAGGGGGTACGATCGACGACGAAGACGGCGGGCATTGAGGGCTTGGGATATGCGTGTTGAATGGCATGCGAGCAGATACAAGTAAACAATATTAACAGGATTGTAGTTGTTGATGGTGTGGTTGTTGCGTTTGTTCGTTGTTGCCGGTGGTGGTGTTATTGTTGTTGGATTGTCACTTCTCAAGAATAATTGTTGTTGATCCTCCTCCCCGGTGACCATGGTATCAGTTAAAGTGCTTCTTCCGCGGCTCGCGCCTTGTTTCTTTACAAGGGAAAGCGAGGTTTCACCAAACTGCGCCCCCTGGCGCCCGGTTTAGAACAACAGCGGCTTCCGCCTGATGCTTTCCCACAATGTATCCCCAAATCGCGCTCTCGCGCGGGACCACAATGTATGAAGAGATTGCGCTCTTGTGTTGGAC